CAGTTTCGCCCGCGAGGCGAGTCACGTGGTGCGGAATCGAAACACCATCTAGAGAGCTTCATTTTATGGAAGGATGTGACCTTGAATCTCCAACTAACATGGCGGCGTGACTAAGTGAAAATTTTGGTCCCCAAAACTGAGGGAAAGTAATAAAGAAATTTCTTCAAATATCTTTTATCAGCTTCCTGCTATGGAAACATTGTCGCAATTTTTTGATGTGGGAGTGTGCGGAAGGGCTTTGACAACTATTAGCAGTGCCGAACAGCAACATCCGAGCATAGGTTCTGGCAGTACACCGCGATGTCCAATGCTGCGACAAGTGGGGACCGATGTATCACATTTTTTGGGGTCCCATGTATCACTCAAATATTATGTTAGGGCAAATTAATCACGGAAATTTTCCTGTTTTAATGCCTGAGCTGTAATCATTGCAATTTTTTAATAGAGTGACAGGCGACAGGTGTTACAGTTTAGTTACATTTTGCCATTAAACAAATACCAAAAATAGAGTGATACATGGGTCCCCCCACTTGTGATACATGAATCTTCACCTTCTCTCTTTGACCTCAACTTACCTTAGGAATGGTCAAACTCGGTCAAACTTATAAACATATTGTAGAAATTAATGCTGCAAGGAAATGTTGCATAATTTGTCCTTTTTAAAAAGTTATTTTTGAAGAAAATAGCTGTGATACATGGGGTCCCATGTATCAAATACACGCATTTAGTAGATTGTGCTTCTATCCAAAACCAGATAAGATACATGAACAAATTCAGTTGGCCCTTGTAGAAGGAAGAGGAAGAAAGATTAACTCACGCTTCTGACCCAAAACATTTGATTTATGCCCAAAACCAAAATTTTGACTCTCAAAACAAAAAAAAGTTATACATGGGTCCCCACCTTCCCTTATAAGCCAGAAAAATCAAAAACACTATTTTTTAATTTTCTACTTTGACCTATTTTGGGTGCTTTTGTCAAGATTAGGGTTTCTACACGATCATGGGTGACAGGAAAGATCCTCCCCTGCCGAGGTGAAAATTCGAATTTTAGGGTGCAATTTTTTTTACCCTTTGCTATTTTTTAATCATCTATGCGTTTCTGTTAAAAGATTGTTTGAAACCTGTATAGAAAAAGTTTTATTATTTCGACTGGAATATGCCACAAGCGAGCGGATTAAGCCGCCGGTAATCCCTTGCCGGCCGGACCCTCGGTCCCGGCTGTATCGGGCCGCGCTGGCCGAGCCGAGGTGGTAGGGACAACTTGAGTACCAGCGGCAAAACCGGGACAGCTAACCAGAGTTGACTGTAGTATGGTTCGTAATATAACGATTATTTTTCTTACAGTGAGGACAGCTAAGGAGTTTACACTCTGCACCTTCCGGCCGGAGGCTACAGCCACCTGAAAACCTCAGGAAGTTTCTAACCCAGTACTGGATCAATTCGAAGCACAGCGCCATATCATTGCGCAAACCGCGTTTCTCTATAAAGAGTAGTTTCGTCACCAAGGGGCACGGACATCAAACTGGAACATTTCTGTAGAATGAACCAAATGAAATCTACTTCGTGGCTTCTAGGATTCCGTGAAGTCACTTTGTTTTGTCAGGAGCTTCTCATCGTGATAAGCACATATCGAAATGCCTGTATTACATAGTGCCGCAAAACCCTTTTTTCAATGGCAAATATTTGTCTAGCTTAACAAGCATTATTCATCATTCTGCACGAGCTGCCCGTCGTGGGCGACCTTGGTTTCCGAGTTACTCTGAAACCGGCCCCCTGGGCATTCCAAACACTTTTTAAGGGGGCAGTAGCGTCTTTTGCACGTGTTTTGACGATTTTTGAACCTCCTGTTTAGACGTTAATATAAAGATAAGTATGAATGCCAGAGACAAACGGCAGGCACCATTTGAAAGATAAAAGTTTTTACAACATTTTCAAAAAAAAATATTTTGTTTTAGCATTGAATTAGGATGTTTTGTGTTCTATGCAAAAATGGTCTGCAAAATTACATGGTGTCACTGCGCGCACGATTGCAGCCAAAGTTTTTAACTTTTTACCAATCGGTAAAATGCATCTGAAAAAGCATGAAATTGCCCATAAAATGACCCTTGGGTTTTAATATTGGGCCAAAAAAAATGTGGTTCGTTTCCATCTTAAGTTGAAGATGAGCGTTTCAATAGTTTTTCTTGCCCAATATTGAAACCCAAGGGTCATTTTATGGGCAATTTCATGCTTTTTCAGATGCATTTTACCGATTGGTAAAAAGTTAAAAACTTTGGCTGCAATCGTGCGCGCAGTGACACCATGTAATTTTGCAGACCATTTTTGCATAGAACACAAAACATCCTAATTCAATGCTAAAACAAAATATTTTTTTTTGAAAATGTTGTAAAAACTTTTATCTTTCAAATGGTGCCTGCCGTTTGTCTCTGGCATTCATACTTATCTTTATATTAACGTCTAAACAGGAGGTTCGAAAATCGTCAAAACACGTGCAAATGACGCTACTGCCCCCTTAACTGCTTCGAGGCTATCACCGCGTGATGGGGTTAGTTGCATTCATTTTAAAACGCAGGCCGCGATCCACAACGACTTGTCTACTGACGGTGGTGGGCCACAATGACAGACAAAAGTCCTGTCATCACCGTTAGTTCTGTGGATCCCGCCGAAATTGCCCCGGCTTAACGGCAACCCCTCCCAATTTGGTCGAAATATATAAAAATGTTCAGTAGTTTTGGTCCCAAACGACCATAAAAGTAACAGGAAAAGTAGCCTGGCCATACACATCGCAACTTTGGCCCGTCCCGAACATTTAGAAATGTTCGAATTGCCTGCTGTCTTCAATGAAGGGGCCGACTAGTTGTCCAATATTTTGTGCCCAAATGAATTTGAACCACCACAGTATCGGATTCCAACAGGCCTGAACTTGAGAAAAGGCACTGAAAATTGAATGGTTGGACACATTGCCAAATAGCTGGCGTGGCAGAAAATTCACGCCTAAAATCGGCATGACGTGCAGTGCTACGCGTTAAAGTCGACCCGTTAACCGAACCGAATTAACGGACTCGTTAACGTTAAGGCTCTGTTGAACTTGTTAACGAGTTAACGTTAAATTAACGTGTTAACGCCGTTGAACTTATTTCCACGCTTTGGTGCATCTTAGCAACCGGTAGAGTTCTGAGAGTTTTGAAAAGTTATAATTTTACCAAACTTAAAGTAATTGCAAATTTGATAAAACTATTAATTGAAATGGATGTTTCGTCGATTTTCTTGCGTTTCAGACACATTTTTTCCAGCAGTTTGCCAAAATTTCGGCCATAATCGAACATAAAGAGGAACGTTTTTAACTTCAGCGACGTTAAAAAGTTTACGCACAAAATTAACTTCACTCGTTAACGTTAAGGCCCTTGGATAAAACTAACGAGTTAACGTTAATTCGTTGATTTTCTGTAACGGAGTTAATTAACTTCGTTAATCGTCAAATTAACTTTAACAGCCCTGAGACGTGTGCGTCACACCGTCATTTGGCGTAAAAGTACCGTGTGGATTTGTGCCTACATTGCGTGTGATAAGAAAGGTCGGGCAAAAATCCGGCATGACAGAAAATTCACGCCAAAACTTGGCGTGAATTTCGGAGTCACGTTGACTTTTGGCATTACTTTTTTTGTCAAGCCGTTTTTTTTGCGTGATGGTTTACCAGTGCGCAATGAAATCGTTCCATACGGCATGTTTGACTCTAGGCAACCGTGGTTCAAATAACCTGCTGGGTCTAAATTAAGGTGATTGGCTCGGATTGACTAGTTGTTCAAGATTTTGTGACTAAATAGATTTGAACTACGACAGAAGTCGGATTTTGAAAGCAATGAAGAAATTGTACCGTGTTGCTAAGGGGAGTGCCCCAGATTCGGGTGCACTGCACAAGAAGCTAAGCCCGGAAAGGCCTATTTTCAAACATTCAAACAAACAAGGGTCAATTGTCCAGTGTCATACATAAATCCTTATAAATATCTGTCTTACACTTTTAGTCATTCATGGAGAAGAACTTATAAAACATTCAAAGTAAGGGGGCAGTAGCGCCATTGACATCATTTTGTGGTCAAATTTTGACGAAGTTCCAACTGTTACAGAGTCCGTCTGTTCGTCGTGGGGAAAAAACACTTATTATTAATGAAAAGAGGGTTCTTCAAGGATTGTTTTAAAGACAAAGTGCACACAAAATCTATGTGTGTACTCAGTACACACTTCTAGGTGCGTGCTTACAAGCATGCACTTCTAGGTGTCTACTTGCCTAAGCACCTAGAAGTGTGTACACTTTAAAGTGTGTACTCAGTGAGTGGAAAAAAAACGTTACATTGCTTTAATCCCGAAACCCAAGGTTCATTTTGAGGGGCCGACCACCAAATTTTCATGGCGATAAATCAGACTGTTCTCTCAAAATCCTGCGCGCAAGCACTGAAAATACACAATTGAGAAAAACGGCCTAAAGATTGAACGTGCCTAACCTAACCTGTGTTAATAAATTTACATAAATGACTCTGGAGGAGCCTAAACGGTAGCGAATTCCCGCAAAAGCTTGTCACATTCTTGAAAAGGGTTGTCAGAATATGAAACCTGGACAAAAAACAAAATATCGAGTTTTTAAAAAATAATGGCGCTTATGCCCCCTTAAGGTCCGGTGAGGGCAACTCCCGAAGTCCAGACCCACTTGGTTTCATAAATAAGACGGTACGGGCCTTAGAAGAGGGAAAGAGTTGGCTTTACATTTCGCTTAAAAGTTGACCATAAATATCGCCCCCCCCCCTCCCCTTTTCTGAACTTCTGGGCAAGCCACACGCTACTTGTGACAGTGACAGACACAACATCCGCTACCAAGTTTGGAGAAGGTGATAGTCACTCTCGCTTCCGTGTTTCTGTCAGATGTCATCGATTATGGTGGACGTTTGAGTGGCAGCTTGGTTCAATGTCATCTGTTTGAGCACTTACTGTATTGTCCAATAGGGCACCGCGTCTGTCTTAACGCAGTCGTGGTCAGGTACGTTGAATTCTTTTCAAAAGAATCTGTCTAAAATTATACCAGGACGGTGACAAAACGCTCATGTCACGTTTTGTTTGTGGTTGAGACTAGAAGACAATTGAGGTACGACTCCAAATCCTTTGTGCGTTCGAAGGCAAGATCCGTGTGTCGATCGAGAAAAAAAGAGATTCACTGCTCTACGGGCGCTTAGCTCAACCTTCGAAGACATTCACACAGCATGCTTCTTTTGAAAGTCGGTAACATGGTTCGAGAGAACGTGGGGATGGCCCTATCAACACAGGAGCCAAATGAAACGGAACTACCCCGAAACACGAGAATCCCTCTCCTACACTGAAAAACCAAACGTGGTCCAGACCAGACCACGTTTGGTTTTTCAGTGTATCGAAGGTAATGGCTCTGATTTCAGTGCAGCGATGTCGCAGAGAGAAGTCCGTGATGGCTGCAAGAGTGTCGTCTTTGGTGTGATCCTCGGACTTGTTTTCGGACCACACATCGCCAACAGCAAGGCGGGAAAGGCAATTAACTCGTATGCGGTAAGAAGAGATGCGTTGAGTCGAAAAGTGTCTCGAGGAACAATATTGGATGGTAGGGTAAGGTCCTGCCATTTGGGAAGTCTGTACGTTTTAGCCTAGATGGCATGACAGCATGTATAATTTTGGATACCTTTTTACGTGCTTCATATAAATGCCTCACTTGATGCTAAAACAAAATATTTTTTTTAAATTGTAGTAAAAAGTTTGATGTTTTACATGGTCACCGCCGTTCGTCTCTAGCATTCATGCAAGTCTTTTTTTGAAGGTCCAAGCACCAAAATCGAAAAAATGAAAAAATTCCAATGCTAATCGCATTGCACGGTGTTCCCGTTTCCATAACTGGTTGAAAATCGAGGAAAACATGACAAGACAACCGCAGCCTTTGAGAGCATGCCAAACAATCCAACCTCAGCAACAATGGAGGGGCAGTTTCAATGAGCGCCTGTTCGTTCTTTCAGCCTCGCGATTTTCGAAAGGGCGCAGACGGCAAGCATATTGGTGCCAACCCACGAAAATTAATTTGATGTGTCGTTTCTGCTACGAACTTTTTAGTAGTGACAGACTTTAAAGATGTTCCAACGTTGAGACACCGTGCAATGTGTTAGCATTAGCATTTTCGAATTTCACGGCGTTTAGATTTTTTTTAATGGGCGACTTTAAATTTTGACGGGTGGTACGATGGGACCATGCCGTTGCCATGGAGATTTTTTTTTCATGTTTTGACCATTTGCTCAGAACATATATGATTTCTTGTTACTTTGATGAGCCAGGAGGTTTAGTTTTGAGGAGTGGCACATTTTTTATTTGAACCATTTTTTCATATCATTAACGGTTCTCGTTTTCGATTGTTGCAAATTTATGTTTTTCGCGTTTACGGAAAATTTCCACGATGAATTTTCGAAAAAAATTGGAATTTTCGTTTTTTTCATGGTTGAAATAGTTTAGAGTTGTTTATTTGAAAATCGGAGGGGGGGGGGGGGGAAAGAATCCACGGACCTCGGACAATAGGGGTTCTTGGGAACCCCTAAAAAGAAAAAGAAAGAAACGTGCATAAAGAGCCACTGCCCCTTAAGACAGGAGATATCGTCGGATTTCGCAAGATCTCGTCCAATTTAACGCCCAAAATCTGCCTGTTTTTTTTTTCCTTTTCGGGGAAACATTTCGGATTTCCCAAGATTAGGGTTCCACACTGAAAAACCAAACGTGGTCTAGACCACACCAGGGGTGTGGTCTAGACCACGTTTGGTTTTTCGGTGCAGTGGACACAGGATTTCTTGAGTGGTTGCCCCCTTACCTCGTGCTCCGCTCGCCGCCGTTCCATTGGTAACCTTGGCTGAAAATGCTTCCACCTTTGCCGCGTCTTTGAGCCATGGAAAGTCTGAACTTTGTGCAACAACTTATTTTCAAGGAATCACATGAGCCATTATTCCGCTCGTTTCAGCGTACCATTACATCAATTTACTTCGCTCAGGCAACTACCACCAAGGGAGTTCTTTTCCATTGTTCAGGGAAAATACATCGTTTACACAGACACATTCTACATGTGTGATAGTGAAAATACTTGGTACTGGAACTTGAAGACCACGCACTGGAATCCTGCCAAGCCCAGTGAGCTGCAACGTATAAGTGGCTGGGTGAATGCCACAGGTCCCAGTTTAACGGATGGAAGTTGGGTAAGTGCTATTTGATTGGTATGAAGCGAAAAAAGGGATAACTCACCGTTATTCAATTCTGTGGTAAAACAAAAAGATTAATTAATGTTTGCAGGAAAAAATAAAACGGAACAACTGTCTGATGCAGATGTTTATTTACAATAAAAGCATGAGACCTAATATATTTAAGAGATTTATTTCACTTCTTAGCGGTTTTTTGTAGATGAAAAAGTATTTACGATGAAACTGACTACGGAGTCATGTTTACTACTCCCAAACAAAGTGGAATTTGGAGACAATGTCACCGGAGCTGAGGTCTGCATTTATATTGTACACTGCTCTGGTACATTTTTCGAGTTCTCTCTTTTGTATAACTAGGTAGTAAGATGCCGAATTATGGCATTATCTCTCTCAATGAATGAGTCATGTGGGCTTAGACTCGGTTATCTATATTCCAGCGAATTTAAGACAACAGGGCACAGTAAAAACTCTACGAAGAATCGCTTTGTAATACAAAGAAAATGAAGGCATTGTAAAACCTACGAAGAAATGCTTCGTATTATGAAGCAAAATCCTTCGTATTATGAAGCAAAATCCTTCGTAATACTAAGCATTTCTTCATAATACGAAGCAATTCTACAACGCCTTCATTTTCTTTGTAGCTATGAAGCAAGTGCTTCGAAGGCTTTTAGGAGTGGGGTCGGTTGGTTTACACTTTTATCTCTAATCGGATGTTTTATTATATTGCATGATATGAGTGAATCTAATGATTTGGATCATCTTTGGCGACTATCTTAATATATTAACTCAAATTGGATACTTTAAGTTTAGAGATTCCCTTTAAACTCATCCGGAATCAATTTAAAAAGGTGGCATGCGCTTTCTGCAATTTAAGCTGAAGTTTACACTGACGTTGGCTTTAGTTCGATGTCAATTGGCGTTTAAGGGGGCAGTAGCGTCATTTGCACGTGTTTTGACGATTTTCGAACCTCCTGTTTAGACGTTAATATAAAGATAAGTATGAATGCCAGAGGCAAACGGCAGGCACCATTTGAAAGATAAAAGTTTTTACAACATTTTCAAAAAAAAATATTTTGTTTTAGCATTGAATTAGGATGTTTTGTGTTCTATGCAAAAATGGTCTGCAAAATTACATGGTGTCACTGCGCGCACGATTGCAGCCAAAGTTTTTAACTTTTTACCAATCGGTAAAATGCATCTGAAAAAGCATGAAATTGCCCATAAAATGACCCTTGGGTTTTAATATTGGGCCAGAAAAAATGTGGTTCGTTTCCATCTTAAGTTGAAGATGAGCGTTTCAATAGTTTTTCTTGCCCAATATTGAAACCCAAGGGTCATTTTATGGGCAATTTCATGCTTTTTCAGATGCATTTTACCGATTGGTAAAAAGTTAAAAACTTTGGCTGCAATCGTGCGCGCAGTGACACCATGTAATTTTGCAGACCATTTTTGCATAGAACACAAAACATCCTAATTCAATGCTAAAACAAAATATTTTTTTTTGAAAATGTTGTAAAAACTTTTATCTTTCAAATGGTGCCTGCCGTTTGCCTCTGGCATTCATACTTATCTTTATATTAACGTCTAAACAGGAGGTTCAAAAATCGTCAAAACACGTGCAAAAGACGCTACTGCCCCCTTAACGGACTGACATTTATCCTTTATTAGCAATTTGCACCGTTTACCGCAAACACCTTTCTTTCCGCCAACTTCTAATTTGTATGAGAAATGCATTTCGTATAGGATGTTCTTAATCTAATGACCCAGGTGAATATCATCATGGACGCGCGGGCGAACAACCAGTGGAAGCAGAACGCTTTTGTCTTCAAGTTTCCCAACGGTGCCTGCACTACGATCAAGAAGCAGATCCCAGAATTCTGGAACGTTGTCCTCAAACTGCCGAGGAGCGACAAAACGCCGTGTAGTATTCCACCGGTAGGAAAATTGAACGGACACTGTGTGTGTAGGGTAAAAGGTGGATTTGATTCAGGTTAGAGACTCAAATGGCAGGGACAACTTCATTCCGACCGCTTCACAAACAGAATACAGTATCGCCGTCGGATGAGTTTGAAACTCCGTCAGTCAAAGAAGGAATCTGGTCTGACAGTTTCTGCGCAAGCTACACACTGTGTGGGGTAAGATAGGTAGATTTGATTCGGGTTAGTCCAGGGAAAGACTCATCCGGGGGTGGGAATAGTCCGATCAGTATCTTGGAAAAAGGGGGTCGACTAAATGAAAAATTTTATTGCGGTTTTCTATAGGCCTCGCCAAGACCTTTTTGACAAGTGGTCCCAAGGGGGTTCAACGGGCCCGACTTTGCCAGTTTCCCGATCAGGGAAGGGGTCCAGGAGTCCGTGCGTTGTCGGAATCGATGCAACGGACTCCTCGCGCGCTTCTTCGAGGCCTCCGTCGCAATAGGTTGTTGAAGCAAGACCGAAACGGGTATTTGCGGAATCAAGTGGACGAGACAAATTTAATGGGCCTCGTTTTTTGGATGGTAAGAGTATAAAGAAGAGACTTGTCCATATTTTGAATAGAAGGGTGGCCCTCAGTCACGATATCGTATGATAGAACGATAACATTATGTTGCCCCCTCATGGGGTGTCGGATGCGGTGGCCACCTGCGCCTTGCCAAGTAGGGTCTGATGCGAGGGAGGGCCGAAGGTCCGAGGAAAGGCCACCGGTAGGCTAAGCTGGAGTCGAGGGGCCCCAGCTTGTTTCCAACTCGGTTTTGAGAACCCATCAACTCTCAAACCCTCGAAAACAGCCATTCTTGGGGAGACCCCTACCAACACTAGAGGGGGTGACGGTTTTTGTCCGTGTCTTTTCGGTACTTCTTGTGCATACAAGGAGAGGAACCGATAAAACACCTTGGGTACCCGCTCCTAGGATGTCACCGGCCAAGCGCTTTTGTTGTTCTCTGGAGCTTTCTCTTCATTAACCTAAAATTTCTGCCTGTCATGGGAGAAATGGTCTGAATTAGATTCTGCGTTTTTGACACAGCAATTCTACGAGGTCAACGACGAGGCCATCGCCTGGCTGTTCCCCAGCGTCCCCATCATGCCGTACGGGATGTACCGGTTCCGACTGACCGGGGGGCCGCCCGGCAAGCCCGCCATGGGCTGCTTCGTTGTGGAATGCCACGTCGTCCCCAAGATGTCGTAATCTAACGGTCGCCCCAAGACGCACGCGAAAGGCGGCCTGCATGCGGCCTTCTTTCTGTACAACTGACTTTAGGTTCCTTATCGATAGAGTATAATTCTTAAAACGAGCTAAACAATTACAGAGTATTCATTTATCGGATTTAGGATTTCGTGAATACCTGGTGAGTCACGTAGTTGTCACATATGGACATTTTAACCATGCCACCGTGCCACCCATGCGGGGCTTTAGAGAAAAGATTCTCAAAGGTGAAAACCAGCAAGATAAAATTGGTTGTTGGAAACAAAATTAGTCAAAATATCCGTCCAGTTCGCCCAGTGATTGCCACACTACGGTTTGAGCACATTTTTTTTTCGTTTTTGACAGGTATTGAACCGTCCATTTGAATTGGTTTGCACCGTGCTCGAAGCTTCAGGGTCTTGGGAACTTGAATCTGCTGTGCCTTAGAAAATGTACTGCCAGTGTGTATTCCATAAATTTAGAAATAAAGTTTAAATTTCAAGTTTGGCTTCACTGAGATTCCAAACGCTATGAGTATAGCGTCAATTGGTGCAATGCAAAAGCATTGCACATGAAGTGCAATGCCTCCCCATTCCCATGCATTAGCATAGGGCCTTTTCGGGATGCATTGCACGTAAGGTGCAATATGGGTATGGCATTGCACGTGTGGTGCGATATCTCAGCTGCATTGCACCATACGTGCTATACTCATAGCGTTTGGAATCTCAGTGTTAGAAACGATTCGGTTACGGAAATGATTTCACCTTTATGGTATGGGTACAAAATACATCTTTTCCCCAGATTTGACGCCGATAACTTCTGAAACTCAAGCCTGACCCTACAACATGCTTAATATTTTTTGTTCATCTTGTTGATATTTCCGAAATAGAATTGTTTCTATCGCATATTAAAAATTTTGACTTTAAATAAAAATTTATAATTTACAAACGGTGTCTGAACAGTTTCTGGTGGGTGCAGCGAATGAAGGTGTCCATGAGGCAAGGAGAGTGACACGCCAGATCAGAACCAAGTTATTGCAGGCAACAAACTGGACGCTGGACGGACATGCACGGCGTCGCATCGCTCGCTGCCAAGTCCGCTTCAAAAACACTACTAGTGTGGCCATTACTGGCCGTACACGGTTTCGCCTGCCCAGTAGCAGCCACCACCGCTTTTTCCTCAAATATAACGAAATTTTCCAACAGCAAAAAAATGCGTGCTATCACTCGTAAATTTTGACAGAATGTCAAAAGAATGTCTGAAATCCTGATCAAATTTCGCGCACCACTGAAAGCTGAAATTCTGAAAACCTTTTCTGATATTGATGGCCTGAATTCTACTGAATGTCAGAATAAGTTTTCAGCTTTCAGGGGTGCGCGAATTTTGATCCGGTTTTCAGACAGGATTCTGACATCCTGACAAGATTTACACGAGTGATGGTCAACTTGCCTTCTCTCGGTTCCAAGTCACTGGTACTTTGACAAAGTGGCGAAAGTCCAAGATTTTGACAAACTGAGATTTTCAACTCAAATAATTGTATTTTTCATTCCCTATCACTGGGTGAAAAGGGCATGTCAATATCTTTAATACTTTAGGTGTTAGAAAATACTTAAAATTGACGAAGATCCACCCATCAGATGACAAAAGGCGAAGGTCCTTGGTCGGCTGAAGAAATGGCGAAGGTCCCAACCATAATTTGAAAAAATGACGAAGGTCCCACCATGCTTTGATAAAATGACGAAGGTCCAAACCATAATTCCTTATTGTGGCGAAGGTCCATCAAACTGTGAAAATATGACGAAAGTCCCTACAACACTGTCAGAAAGGCGAAAGTCAATGGAGGAGTTAAAAGTATGCATCTGCATAGTGAAAATAAGTCATCTCACTCTCTGAACCCATCATATATCTGTCAGAGGAGAGGAGGACTCATTCATGAGAAAAAAATTGTTGTTGTAACTCTGTAACCACACTGCAGTCCCAGGTTTCGGACAGGAGAGGCAGATCAGCATGAAGCCTCGAGTAAAGCAGAATAGTAATTTCATCTTTAGCTTGTCTCAACAAATTTAGAAAAATCTATTCTGCCTCCATTTGTTTCACTACTTACATTGAAGCTTATCTCTCAGTGTGGTGATGGTTTGTACACAATGAATGCAGGTTGTTGTACTTCATAGTTTCTTCTGCTGGGTTCTGGAGAGAGTTCACGAAAACGCACAGATCAAAGACAAACTGGGGCTGTGCATTGCTCAAAGGTATCTTTCGGGGGCGAGGAAACAAAGCACT